AAAAACAGCATGTGAAATAAAATGCATTATGCAAGAAACAAATCAATTTACACAATTATTTTTCCCTCTACATTGCAAGGATAGGCCTAATTCAGGGACTTTTTTTAATCACTTTATTTATTTATTCATTCATTCATTCATGTTCATAAACATTTTGAACAGTTCCATTAAAAAAGCAGGTTTCTAAATAAGTGTAAACTTCACCTAATTATGTGCATGCTTAATTTATCTTGGAAATACAATTTTTACACTTTAACACTTATTACAGCTAATCAAATAAAGCGGATGCACTGAAGATGATACTAATTCTGGCTCATTCGTCGTGCTAGAAATGGAAAGTAGAGTTGAGCAGTATTTCATACAGTGTGTTTTGTTGCATACTGCACATTTTGGAATCTGTAGTATGTAAATGCATACAAAGAAATTTGCATACTAGTATACTGCTGAAATAGTAAAAGTAGTATTCCATTCACTTACATACAACAGAGGATTTGCATTGCACTGAATGAATAAACTAATGGCAAAAAGACCGACTCAATATTTCTCCTGTCATCAGCTGTTGATTGCCATAATTTGATTTATAACGGTCAATAAAGCATCCAGTAGTCAAGGGCACAGCAGCTGATTAGCACAACTAATGCTAATGTAAACTAATAAATACATTCCATCTGCTTTCAGATTCAAACTGGTCCAAATCAGTTACCGTCATGCGAGGAGATATTCTCAACACTTACCTCACGACTATTGGTCAGCAAGCTGGAGATCAATAGCCGTCGCTGTGGTATAGGCTCGACATTCTGTGAAACATCAAGTGATAGCTACATCACAATTATGATTTTCCATGGCAACAGCAAGCCTTTACAGGTGTTACAGGCTGGTTGAGTCAGCATCGACCAGAGGTGATTGACACTGGTCGTTACTGGCATTTGCGATAAAAAGGGTAACTAGTGTTTGTCTGAGAGGGCAAGGTTATTTCAGGTCTGGGAACAAAAGGAACACTAAAAACTGAAGTCTATGATTTTCAATAGAAATTCAAGCAAGAAGTTTCTGGAAAATGGCAACATAAGTTTTTCCATTACTCTAACTCAATGAAATGACTTGTACAGCCAATTATATTATAGGCCTACTTAAAAATTCTTGTGCAGTTCTGAAAATCCTTTACCTAATTTGGTGTTCCAGGTCAAAAATGACCGACCTTTTCAAAATTTCTTATAAATCCCTCATTATGCTACATTATCACAAATCTTGGATTCATTCTTTTGGTCAGCTTGTTTTCTTTCAATCAGCACAAGTTATTTATTTCCTTTTTCAACTGACTGATCATAGGCCTCATTGATCTGAGCTTATGCATGTCAGTTTTTGAGTGAAAAAGCATTATTTGTGGATAATTTTGGCAATGTTCCAAAAAGAAACACAAACCTATGCTAATTTCAAGAAACAAGTTGACATGAAGAATAAATCCAATATTTGGTAATAATACAACAAGAAATTTATTAGGGGTGCTCTGATCATGATTTTTGAGGCCGATCACCAATCGCCGATCACTGAAAGCAGTATCTGCCGATACCAATCACCGATACCGATCTTTTTAAAGCCTTCTTTTTATAATTTATAACTATTTATAGTGATACATCAATCAGGATTTTTAGATATTTATTCAGGGCCTGAATGTCATTTTTGAAAATGGGGGAAATTCCCCTCTTAGGTGACTCTTGTGAGAGGGGAAGCAGCTTTCACACAGGAGTCCGCTACTGATCCGTGGCTGTTTACCACAAACACAACATCCCAATGTGATTATCGGCCGATAATGATCGGTAGCCGATCAATCGGACGAGCTCCCCTAAAATTTATAACCAATTTTTTGTAGGCCGGTCATTTTTGACCTGGAACACCACAAGTGTAGGGTGGGGGAAAAAATCCCAAAAAAGTAGAAATATGATCCAGTTTTTTGGGGGTAGATATACCCTGTGTGACTGTGAACAAAGTCATCAGGTTTTACTCCAATGTGATAATATTAACTAGCATTTTAAAGGGATCATATGATACGATTTCAATTTTTCCTTTCTCTTTGAAGTGTTACAAGCTCTTGGTGCATAAAGAAGATCTGTAAAGTTGCAAAGACTAAAGTCTCAAATCCAAAGAGAGACGCGTTTCAGAAAGGCAGGGCATAGAGGAGAAACAATGTACAGTATGTGGGAAAAAATGTTTTTGAACCTTAAACTGTATAAACACATTTCATTAAACCAAATACACAAAATAATGTTCTTTTTAGCAACATCATATGACCCCTTTAAAGAGATAGTTCACCCAAAAATGAAAATTCAGTCATTAGTTATTAAACTTTATATTGTTTCAAACCCCAAAACCTTTGCTCATCTTAGGAACACAAATTAAGCTATTTTTGATGAAATCCGAGAGCTTTCTGACCCTGCATAGACAGCAACGGAACTGAAATGTTCCCAGGCCCAGAAACGTAGCAAGGGCATCGGTAAAATAGCCTAAAACAAAAATAACGACTTTATTCAACAATTCTTCTCTTCCATGTCAGACTCCGCAGCGCATTCACGAGAGTACCACAACGATGTCACAAAGACTATTTTAACAATGTCCTTACAACGTTTCTGGGTCTTGAACGTGGTAGTTGCAATGCTGTCTATGCAGGGTCAGAAAGCTCTCGGATCTCTTCAAAAATACCTTAATATGTGTTCCGAAGATGAACAAAGGTCTTACGGGTTTGGAACGACATGAGGGTGAGTAATTAATGACAGAATTTTCATTTTTGGAGTATACTATTGCTTTAAGTAAAAAGAAGATCCTCATGGTCAAATGACAGGTAAGCTAAGATTTGATGTTGAAAAAGAAAGTGGACATTTTTAAAGTGCAAATGACTCTTTTTACAAATTTACTTAAAAATCTCCGGTTTGCTGGTCAAGAGCCAGCGCTGCTCCTTAACCCTACTGCGGTTAAAGAGGTTTAGCTGGATAATACTATTAACACAGATTATTTACACCCTCAATAGTACAAGATAAAGATCTACACTAACGTCCTTCAATAAACATTATGCACAGAGGTCCAGGCTGAATTACAATGCTGCTGGCCTACAATACAGCTCACAATATTGTCAACCCTTCACTGAAATGTAATCTCCAACCTGGCTCCTCTATATGGAATACATAGCGACATTATTTCAGAAAAGCATCCATCGATTTGCTCTGTGCAAGTATTTCATATCAATATATCATCAGCTTTTACAACCCAGGCTCTCGCTCGCACCCACATAATGAAAAGGCAAACTCTACCACTCCTGTCGACCTAGTCGCCCCCTCGAAAGGGTGTCCGCTCATCCAGAAATTTCTCCATCTCCATTTCTCAACGGTAAAATGAACACAGAGTTACAGAAAATCTCACCAGTTAACTGACTCACCAAATCCAAGACTCAAAATCATCTCATCTTATGTGAAACCACTGTTTATAACACAATAAATCAATCATCTGCACAATAAGCTTGTTCTTTTCACATTTATAGTGTTTCAGCAATGAATCGCAGTCATTTAACGGAGAAATACTAGTATTGGTATTGTGTAGCTGCTTCAGAAATACATTGACATGTGCTGCAAAACCTATAGAAACTCTATGATAAAACTGTCTGAGAGGATTCTGTAATATCCTGCAATTCTAGAAGTGCTGTGACTATATGACAGCAAGGGGCTCAATTTGCATTTAAATAACCTGTGACTAAAGCTCATCTAATCTGAACTCTCGCCCTGACCGTTAATATGAGAGTCAAGAGGTCGGGTCTGTAGTAAAAATTGGGAGTCAGAGTCAATGTATTCGACATACTGATAAGGTTTCTAAAGCTAAAAGCCCACTTTATAGTAGATGAGCAACTGGTGCTGACAAATATGTTTGTCATGAAACAATCACATCTGAATTAAGATCTGCTGTGAAAATCACATCTGACTGGCGTGTCAATATTAATACAAATCTTTGATGCGCATACACATACTCAAATTGAGCAGTCGTTCTGGAAGTTCTTGGTTATGTAAGATCTCAGCTCTTCAAATAAACTAAACGCTGTCCGTAATCCAAGACTATTGCAAAGCAAATCAGACAACATAAAGACCATTTACATGAAACCAATTCCCAACTCATTTTAACAGCCAGTTTATCATTAAACTACAGAACGCATTGCACGTTAAGATTTTTATTGCATATTTAGTGATCAGAAGTCTTCTTGGTGGTTCACGGCTATCAGTAATCAGTAAAACTGTGGATAAATGATAGCCAGTCCTCTCATTACACTCATTTGTGATGCCTGTCATAGATACGTTGCCTTGTTTGCATGCACCACCAGCTTTTAATAGGGTATCCAATAGGTCAGCTCTGTTGTAAAAAATGGTTCAACTTGAGATCCAGAGTCAATGTCTTTGACATAATCGATTGAAAAACTCACTTTACCCTAATGAACGACTGATGCATCACAAATAGTGGGTGAGAGGAACCTCGGAAAACATTTTCCAGGGGAGCTTCTAATGAAACAATCAAATCTGCATTAAGATCCACCGTGGAAATCACATCTGACTGGCATGTCAATATTAATGTAAAGAGCCACAAATCTTTGATATACAATTTAATTTACAATGATACGTTTTGGAAGCTCGTGGTTATGTAAGAACTGGGCTCTTCATTCCCAAACAATCCAACTAAAGAAAGTGTAAACATCAGCTGTATTATTTATGCATTTCAAAGCAAATCAACCCTATTTTGTGAAACTGGTATCACAACTCAATTGAACAGCATGCTACATTGAAATATTGTATTGCATATTTAGTGATCACAAGTCATCTTGGTGGTCTATCAGTAGCCCCTAATTAGGATGATTAGAGATGTACACTCATTTATGTCGCCTAGTTTTCATGCACCATCTGCTTTCTCGTCTTTACACTGACAGACAATACAATGTTTCATTGTGGCATCTTTTAATCTGGTCTGGCGCTTACCTTCAATAGAGATCACATGCTCGCGGATCTGGTTCTGGAGGGCCAGGTCATCGATGCGCTCGACCAGGTCGTATATTGCATAAATGTTCGGGTGGACGGACTCGAACCGATGGATCTCGGCTCTTATGGCTGCTGAGTTGGACAAAACGAACTGGGAGCCCGACGCGCCGGACTGCGCTGCAGGGCCCGATACGGTTCCCGAGCCAAACTGACCCGCCCCGGAGCTCCCGGACGATCCGGATCCGAACTGAGGCGGGGGAACTGGCACCGGTGCCGGTACCGTACCCGGGGTGGGCATGGTGGGCTGTCCAGGACGATCCGGATCCGAACTGAGGCGGGGGAACTGGCACCGGTGCCGGTACCGTACCCGGGGTGGGCATGGTGGGCTGGGACTGCTGAGAGATCCCGGACACTGACACCGAGACCGGGACGCTCGATTGGTAATTCATCGTTGTGGATCTAGGAACAGCTCACGGGAATAATAGAAACGCCGCGTTTGGAATGATTTGGAGAGCGCGCGAGGAATCCGCACTGCACACTCTAATCTGACGAAGAACGATCACAACTATAAGTGACGCATCAAATGGGTTTCCAACAATCCGCGCGCCTTGCTCATAATACCAAAACTTCAATCAGCATCATTGTTCCCAGCGACGAGCTCGCTCTTTTGCGCGTGTCCTGTCCTTTTTTGACAATGAATGTCTTTCAGATGGACACACCTTTGTTTTTGGGCGATCTTCTGGACCGAATCTCTCTCTGTTTTGCTTCCCAGCCTGAAGCGAACACAATGAGGCCGGTTATCGCAATGCGCCCGAGTCCATTGACTGACTGAATGCGGCGGTTCTACTCTAAAGTCATAAACACGTTTGAATCCTCTTTTGGTCCAAGAAGTCCCTCCCCGTCCCCCACCTCCATCCACTAGATGTGGAAAGTCCGAATCTTTTAGCGAGTCGGTTCGCGTAGTGAACCTGTTCAAAGAGTCGAATGACTGATTCTTTTTAGTTAGCGCTCAAAAGTGTTTCTAGAACCCCCTTCGCTGCATTTTACATATAATTTGTGTAATAAAGTTGCTAATTACACACCTCAAGGTAGGCTACTGTCACATTAGAGATATTTCGCTCTCAAAAATGTCTATTAGGCCTAGCCTATTTTCTCAGGAGCGTAGCATTGTATTAAAGTCCCTTTCAAACCAAGCAGATTTCTGTTTTTCGCGAACATGAGCGAAATCTGCGTGGACTTTTTCGCCCTCACGCGAAACTCCATTGATTCATTGAAATGACTGAATTACGTAGCGAAATTTAACCGAGTAACCTAACGGTAAACGTGACATTTAGTCTATGTAAACGGTGATATCTAGTTTAATTCTATTTAGATTTAGGCTACAGTAAATTTAAGCACATTCTTTTTAGAAATGAAAACAAGCCTGTTCAAGCCGAGGCCTAGTGTTTCCAAATCAGATTCCCACCATTGTTTTGATTCTCACAGCTTTCATTTCAAATGTTTTGTTCATTGTTAGCAATAGGCTATTATTAGATATAGCCTATTGTTCCCTATTTAAGTTAGCTCTACTTATGAAATATAGTATAACATAATTAATGTTCGTATCTCCCAGTGCTAATCAACTCATGTAGCCTACAGTGATTTACAAACGCTTCGCGAGTCGTTTAAACAAAATCATTACAAAGATTCGACTCATAAGAACGATTCGGTCATCACTACCATCCATTGCGACGTCACACATCACGTAACTGTGCTTGAAATGGAGGGGAGGGGGGTGAAATTCGATTGGATGTTTAGGTGGTGTTGTTGGTATACAGCGATTGATGCTTCAGTATTATGTAAGCAGATATTTTTTGACAGTTTAATGCTTATAATTGTTCAGTCCTTCACTGACACACACAGCAAGTAATCAGTGACTGCCGTTTCTGATCGAGGGTTACAGCCTTAGCAATATCAAAAGACCATAATTTGCAGTAGCCTAGCTATAATACACATTACATCTCAGGCTTGACAGAGTTATTGTTGGGTTTACTTCAAATAAAGATGTGTCTGTCCACTGTAAATGCAGTATCAGGGCATTCACCCTTGCTTTAAAGTACTGTGATGTTACCATGATATCAGATAAATACCATGATTCTGAATGATTGCTATATTCATTTATCATGGTATTTTCATTTTATGTTAATGATACAATATATGGTTCTGCCATATGTGCTCAAATAACACGGTGTAGTGTAGGGCTATAGGTCCAAAAAGCATGATGCCATATTCATGGTTTTTTAAACAGGAAAATCCCAAGGATAAAGTGATTTTTAAACTTTTGAAGCATTAAATAACCATTGAATGGGTAAATAACCAAGATGTTGCAGTTTAACCGCCTAATACTGCCAGTATCGATTATTTCTTCCCTGGCTTTGGAGAGATCGCTTCTCACACTGTTTTGTTGAATGGCCCCATTGAGTCACTTGTTAGGTATCATTTTGTAATGTGATTAGAATCGACACAATCTCTGCATCTCACTTCCACAGGGTCTGTGCTGTAATCCGCTTCATGTTGACATTTTATACCACAAAAGACTTGCTCTGTGACTTATACAGCTGAAGTCTGCACACATATGACAAAAAAATAAAATAAAAATGATGACAATAAATGTTTACCTCAAAACTGATACCTAAAAGTTAAAGTTAGGCAGAAAATCACAATAGCATTTTTTATTAACACATCTGAATAACAATTCACACAGATAAGATTAATAGAGAAGTTTTTTTTTTAACTGAAGCAACATTTTCTTACACTGTTTGTGGTATAAAGTTCCTCAAAATTCCTATTCCCTTATTTATTAATATACTTCAGTCAGACAGTACATAGCAACATAACAGAGAACATAAGATTCATATTATACACATTAGTTTAATATATGTCATATAGACTGGATAGTTCACTGAAAAATGAGCATTAAAATTTAGGATTCAAATTACATGACATTTTTTCAGAATTTGATGTTATTTCGACATCTGAGACAATTTTAGTATTTTGTGTCTAATCTGCAATATTCACAAACATCTCAGTGTGTATATGTGCAAGTAGGCTAAATTGTCTGAGATGTCTGAACTTAAAAGATATGCTGTGGGCTTTATTCATATTACATTTTATCATGAACACTTACTTTGATCTTGAGAGAAATCTTGTTGCGGCATTAGATTATTTCCCACTTGAAACTAGTGAGAATAAAATTCACCAAACTTTATTAATTAAGATAATGGAGATTCAGTGCAGATGAATCTTAAGAGGAGACCCACTTTTCCTTAGATAAAAACTGCTTATGGCTTTCAGCGTTTTAACATCCACTAAAAAATGCTGATATTGCACTGATCATGCAAGAAGTTATGCAACACTTATGAGATTCAGGCAATAAAGCACTCAGCATTTTTCAGCCTTATTTGAATTCAAATCTCGGAGTAATTTTTTACATCATCTTTGAGCTTCATAAGCTTCAGAATGTAGATATTGAAATGAAGCAATTCATCAACAGACCTAAACTCCCTGCTGACTGTCATTAAAGGGTCACCCAGGAAATAAGTTATAGCCAGTAGCCCTTATTAATAGTCCTGGGTTAATCCAGCGGGAAAGATTATGGTAATTTTCAAACGATTCTGTATTCAAATGTACCGGTTATGAAATATATTTGGGATTAATCTCTTTAGATGCAACTGAGGGAGGGGACATGAGATTTGTCAAGCTAGAATGGTGCAATCCAGTGGAGACATCTGTCCAGAGATTGATTGTCAAGCTTCACTGCGAGCAAGTGACTCATTTCAGAGCGATTCAAAGTAGTGTGTCTCCATCTGTTGGTCACATGTGGGACATGTTTTTATCACAGTAGGACATTTTCATCACACAGCTGTCATAAGGTAACACTACCAAAGATATGCACATGACCCAGAACGTTATTGATGCTCTCTACTCCTCATAGATCAAATTATAGTATGTTTTTCTTGAAATAACTGACTCGCCACATTCTAAGCATCTCGTCAGATTTGTATTACTTTCGTTTTCAGGTACATTACTAGAAAATGTCCTCCATCTTTTGTTTTTAAGGTATATATGTGTGTACGGTATTATTTATCAGGCTTGTATTATTTGTCTATATAAAAACTTTAGTGAAAACAAATCTAGCATCTTAATGCAACAGTATTGCTTCTGAAATCAGCTCAGCACTGTGTGTCAGTTTATTGCAGTGCGCTATATCTATTTTGCAATGAAATGTCAACCTCCAAATAGCATTTAGATCTTGATAACACAATATAGAGGTTCTGTGCAAATATTAAATATAAAAACTCTTATATTTGTACTGCACAAGAACCTAAAGGAATTGATGGCTGACTTTTTTCATGCATTATTTATATTTCAAAGTTATATGTGTAACTTAAGACACTTTATCTGTCTATCTCTCTATCTATCTATCATCTGTCTGTCTGTCTGTCTACTTATCTAACTGCAGTGTAACGTAACGTAACGCATTACTTTCCATAAAAAGTAACTACACTCTAAAACATAATGGATTAAATACAACCCAGCACTGGATAAAATATGGACAAAACCAGCTATTGGGTTGTTTTGACCCAGTGGTTGGGTTACTACCCAGAAGGTTAGGTTAAACATTTCACCCAATTGCTGGGTCAAAACAACCCAATAGCTGGGTTTGTCCATATTTCACACAGTGCTGGGTTATATTTAACCCAGCATTTTTTTTAGAGTGTAAGTAATACAACAATGTAATGCATTACATTTAAAAGTAACTTTCCCCAGTACTGTCTTACTGTCATCTATGTATCTATCTATCTATCTATCTATCTATCTATCTATCTATCTATCTATCTATCTATCTATCTGTCTGTCTGTCTGTCTGTCTGTCTGTCTGTCTGTCTATTTATCTACCTGTCCATGCATCCATCAATCCGTCTATCCATCTGTTTGTCTGTCTGTCTATTTATCTACCTTTCCATCCATCCATCCATCCATCCATCCGTCTATCTGTTTGTTTGTCTGTCTGTCTATTTATACCTGTCCATCCATCTATCCATTCGTCTATCCGTCTGTCTGTCTGTCTGTCTGTCTGTCTGTCTATTTATCTACCTGTCCATACATCCATCCATCTATCTGTCTTTCTGTCCATCTCACCATCTGTCCATCTGTCAGTCTGTTTGCCCATCCATCCATCCATCCATCTTTTTGTCTGTCTGTCTGTCTATTTATCTACCTTTCCATCCATCCATCCATCCATCCATCCATCCATTTGTCTATCCGTCTGTTTGTCTGTGTATTTATCTACCTGTCCATCCATCCATCCATCCATCTATCCATCTGTCTGTCTGTCTGTCTATTTATCTACCTTTCCATCCATCCATTTGTCTATCCATCTGTTTGTCTGTCTGTCTGTTTATCTACCTTTCCATCCATCCATCCATACATCCATTCATCCTTCCATCCATCTGTCTGTCCGTCTGTTTGTCTGTCTGTCTATTCATCTACCTGTGCATCCATCCATCCATCCATCCATCCATCCATTCATCCATCCATCCATCCATCCATCCGTCTATCCATCTGTTTGTATGTCTGTCTATTTATCTACCTGTCCATCCATCCATCCTTCTGTCTATTCGTCTGTCTGTCTATTTATCTACCTGTCCATCCATCCATCCATCCATCTATATATCTGTCTTTCTGTTTAATGGATAGTTCACCAAATAAATGACAATTTTGTATAAATTACTCAACCTCATGTCAGTCCAAACAAGTATCTATTTAATACTTTTGTGGAATATACGTTGAAAATATCTCAGTGCTTTTTTTTTTTTGTCTGTCAATGATAGTCAGTGTGGTTCTGTGTTGTTTTGACATAATTATCATTTTCCCTTTCTTTTTTTCTTGTTATTATAAATGTACAGAAAAATGTATGCATATAGTTTTACATATTAATCATATTTTCAGTTGTATCTTCCATTCATTAATCAATTTGTGTATTTGTTAATTGCTTGTTTTATATCCAACAGTATCTTGAGGACATATAAGTAGGAATTTCACTGTACAGTCTGTTTGTCTGTGCACCTGACAATGACGAGCTTGACGTGACTTGACTTGAAATAGCTGTATACTGTAACTGAGTTTCAGCCACTCACACCTTCAAGGCATTTGTTACCAATATTTCAAGTGCTTTTCATACCATTACACTTGAAACTGCACTGACCTAAAGTCTCTAGAAAAGTAACAGTTGTTAACCACAAACAAGTTGTTACCTGTGTTACAGTGCTGTACACTGACACCGTTGCTGATAACACATTAATTTGCATCACAAGATATAAAAGCGTTTGCACTATTGGAGTAGTTAGCATATCAGGAAACATATTGCAGATAATAATTTATATGAATGTTCACATTCTTGGTGTGTAGAATACAAAGCAATGGTTCACGGGTCCTCATCATTCTCAAAATGACTTCTGTCCTATTTTAACCGAGAAGCCCCCTAAAGCACAAGGCAGACAGATTTTCCATGAATATAATATAATATAATATCATGGGTTTCAGCGTTCAGTAAAAGACCTAAAGGCCAAAAAAGACCAAATGCTTATTAAATATTTCTAGATTTAATAATATTCAGCCTCATGTCTTTCTGACAATTTAAACAGTCAGTCTAAATGAAATAAGTGATTTTTTTAAACTAAAAGTTATTCTATGTGTTCCTGTTGTAAAAAGTTAAAAAACATTAATTGACCCCATATGCTTATTAAATTCCTACAAATTGTTTTTTTTTCTGTGACCTCCCTGTACTTTGTGTCACATGTTGTAAAGATTTAAATATATTTAAATATAGATAAATAAATTGGCAGCTAATTGGCAACTAGATGAGTTTAGCATTTACAAGTTGATAGCATGTATTATTTAGGGAAAATAAACGGAAATATTTATTTTCTCCAAATGTGGACTGTTAGCAATGCAAAGTCTATGGGTTTCAAATTTCAATGTGAAATCTGATCGAGAATCAAGAGAATTCAAATAAATAAATAAATACACTTTTGTTTAACTATACTTAAGTAAACTATTTATTTATTTATTTGTTTGTTTATTTATTTATTTGGACAATGCACATTAATATTGGTATTATATAAAGGTGTTATGTAAATGTTCAACCAATGTCAATAGTGTCCCTAGATAAGTTCATGTACACCTAAACCTATAACTGAACACTAAGCCAAAGAATAACATTTTGTACAGCATAATTCCATTCTATACTTGACAGCAGTGGAAACAAGGAACATCGAGGGAAGGTTTTCATGCAATGTAAATTACTTTGAATAAAAGCATCTGCCAAATCCATAAATGAAAGATGATGTAAGATGATGGGGCAGCTGATTTTGGCAGAATGCACATTATAAAAAAATAAAAAAATTAAAAATTATATATATATATATAGATATACTTTTATGTAAAATACATAAAATACACAAAAAATAAAATAAATGAAATATTTAAATAATAATAATACCATTCAAATAAAATAATAAATAACATTTAAATCTACGCTATGTCTCAATTTAATTAACTCAAAATGAACAAACTAAAATGTTAAAAATAAATATATAAATACAAAAATTAAAATTCACAGTCAAAGTCAACGAAATAGTACATCTAAGATAAAAGTATTGCTTATATTACAATATAGGCTATTTGAAAATTGGGACATAGTTGGGATATCGCAATAGCAACAATGACTATAAATTCATATTGAATGATTCTACTCAATTGTAGGTTATGGAGAATAATAATAATAAACACTACTATCAAACGACACAAATAACCGCTTGAAATTTTAGGATCTTGTATTTGTCGTACTTTAGACGTAAACAACATAATAAATGTTATGTTTTTTCCAACATTTGTTCAAACTGTTCCCACACCTTGTCATTACACCAGCCAGTTGGCCTGAAGTGGCTGATCTCAGATCACCGTCCTCGTAACTCCAGCAGCACTCCGAATCAAAGCCAGCCTTGTAAACTGATCCCAGACCAGCGCTTTACTGTTGACCGTTGCCCTTCCCAGAATGCACCTCGCTGCGCAGTGACGACAATAACAAAACAGCAGCAGGAGAAGCAGCATTAGCGGAGCCTTACTCAACCCTGCGAGAAAAAAGCTCGATGACAAAACTCCCATCTTATTACCGCTCCTCATAACCTGCATGTCTTGAAAGATGAAGCACTAGTGAATTTATCCCAACTCGTTCTGGAAGACTTTGTGCGTTTTATGGGAATTAAAAACAAAGGCCCGTGTTTGGAGTGATGAGCTTTAGCCTGTTAGCCCGACAGCTTCAACCTCCAGCTGACAGAAACCTCCACATCTCAGCCAAAAACAACCTATTAATCTGCTTGCATGCAGAGAATGGACTGAAGACAGCTCAGGTAAGACTATCTGATACATTTGAAGCGTTTTATATAGTAGATGTTGAAGTTTAAAATCAAATACCGGCTAATTTGAGGCTGTTTGGGTCTCTAATACGAAATTCTTCCACAAACTATAATTAGATAATGTAAACAAAACCAGGTTAAGGTTGTTGAACTAGGGTTTAGTGGGTTAGATCTCATGTAATGTGATATTGATGAGGGTTTAGCGTCCTGGTGATGGTTTGAGGGAGATTTGGACGTACTGTCACCCTCCCTAAATAATGATCAGCGCCTTTCAAACAACTAAACAAAGACTTGTAGCCTTCAGGAGTCTCCTATTTTGCAGAAATGTTTTAGAAAACAAGCTATTTTAGATCATATTTTGACTTAGAAGATCAAGTTAGGACTGCTTAGCCCAGGGGAAAGCTGTCAATCAATTTCGACACATTATACGTTGTGACAAACAGACTAATATAAATTGTGGTCCACGTTATATTCGATTAAAACAATATTGGTTACCCATGTGGGCCACACAAACCATGTGCTGTTCCTGGTATCCACGCCTTATTCCTTGTATCCATAATAACCTTTGCTACAATGCATCCTGTCAAAGTTTTACACCCGTTCATGGGGAATTAGGGTACAAAGGGTCTCTTAGCGTGTATTGATGGTGTTTACCCACAGGGAACAACATGACTCAGCCTTAATATTCCCATTGTTGGGACACATGGTCATGCTGGCCTGTGTGCCGTTTTACAGAACTAACCACATTATAGAGTACAAACAACCCCAGAGATTTATTCAGTGTTCTTGTCATAATCTGTCTAAGAATGAAGACACTGTGATTAGCCGGTTATCTGGGGGTTTTCCAGCTTGTTATCTACTGAAACAGTCTTGTAGTAGGGCTGTTATGGTTTCTAGGTTATGTGTGCTTGTACAAATGTCTCTAAATGCCTTTTAAAGTGTAACCATTTATTAACCCCATTTAGTTCGAAGTTAATTAAGGCAAGAAACTACAGGCAAAACCATTGTTTTTTTCATGCACTGGTCAGTTTTGTGATTTTGGGCTCTTTTGCTTCCATACCTTCTTTCAGATTAATGGAAAGAAAACATACAAAATACACATTTAGGTGTTTTCTTTTATTATATTTGATCTATTTGCGTCTGTAGATTTAAATTACAATACACATCCTTAAAGGCTGTTTTTTTCAAAATGAGTTTTTTCTCATGTAGTGAGTCAGAAATCAGAAATCTCTACTTACATAACTGAACTTTACAGTTTTATTCCTATTTATTCCTAGTTATATTCTCAAGGTTGTTACAGAGAAGTTTGTTCATATATTATTCACCTGATTTATTTCCTAAAAACATGAGAAAATGTATTTATTTTTTCTGACCATTGACAGTAATTTCTGATTTATGGAGTGATAATAACAATATCAAAAATGCCCTCTGTAAAAACCAACTCTAATATGTAGGGCTGCACGATTAATCGAATGCGATTGTCATGCGCATTTTGTTAAAAAAGCCGGTTCTGTAATCAGCAAGAAATCATCATCACGTGCTTTCAGATGGAGCAGCATTTACTACACATAGCCGTAGTTCACTGACACAGCGATAGGCATTTCCTGGGTTTCTTCTGCGAGGCGTATTTGGAGTTTCAGCGCGAGAGCGCCCTCTGGCCTTTGGATGGAGATTTACTGCTGATCACAGAACCGTGCTTCACTGAAAGATACGCATGACAATCGCAGCTTCTGTCGAATCGCGATCTCGATTCCATTTTGATTTATCGTGCAGCCCTACTAATATTGTCAACAATATGAAACAAGAATATTGAACCTTGGCTTAATTAGATTTCTGTTCTGGAAATGTGTGCAAATTAGTGTATTTAAAATTACACAATGCATCACTTGCATATTTAAACATAACATTACAGAAACTTGTAGTGCAAAATTATTTTTTTATGTGCCCTGAATAATCAGCTGGGGAAAGTATATCCCCTATTCACCTGTGGTGTCTTGCCTTAAACTGTTAATCAAAGCAGAAATCTTCATCATCAGTAGTAAGTTTTGTTGTTACCTTGACTTGAATTAAGTGCATTTCATTTACTTTCGATCAGACAGCCATAATTGACTAGATGAACAAATCAAGCTGGAGGCAGGCTCAGCGGAGAGTTCAACATGAAGTTGTATGTGTTTCAAGTCAACAACGGAAGCACATTGACATTTGACACTGAACTTGCTGTCCAAACGTAAGAGAATTTACTGTTTTTAAGAAAAAGTGAACGTTTAAGGTCTAATTTGTTTCCACCTTATGTGAAGACATTACATTAGGTTGTGCTGTTTTACAGAACATATTGTGTGTGTGTGAATAACTTCTTGACATTGTTTATCATAGTTAATGTATGAGATATCATGAACTGACATGGAACTATAATTTTTGTTTAGTAGTTGTTAATGTTACTTTGTAGTTTCATAATGCATTAACCAATGTAATCATTGCGACCTTTGATGTTAACTTCTAGAAACTAACATTAACAAAAATGGCTAAATAAATATGAACACCTTAGAGTAATGTTTATTTTTGTCTTCAAACATCCTGAAATTAGCTCAATGAGTTTGACTTTAAATTTGTCTGAATTTACATGAGTTTACATACATACATATATTTACATATTCATGAGAAACTGCATTATATTGAATAATATAATATGTAATATATAATATAGGTGATACTTAGAGATGCAACATACTAATTTATTAATTACATTATTCCAGTGTAAATACCGGTATAATCCTATGATGGGTAAGGTGCAAATGTAAATTATTATTATTATATTATATACGTCTTCTTAATTCCTGAAAAGTTTGAATTCCATCAGTCGTTTCTGTATTCTGTTTGTCTGCAGATTTGTTTGTAAATTGAGTCCTGATTTGTTTTACTGGGTTACTAAAATGCGTTGTGCTTTGTGCCCTTTATAGTGTTTTGGACCTTAAACATGCCGTTCAGGCCAAATATAAAATTGCAGTCCAGCACCAGGTGCTGGTGGTCAATGGAGGCGAGTGTATGGTGGCAGAGAGGCGCGTGTGCAGCTACAGTGCCGGAACGGTGAGTAACAAGCAAAATAAAACACCCAAACAGCATTTTTGCTTTTCAACATTTGTTTAGAGAGTAATAATAGTTATTATATATGAATTATATAGCCACATATGTAATCATTGCTGCAAAGTACTTTAGAACTGCTAAAATGTTTGACATGAAAATCGCAAAGAAGCAGTGCATATAATAATTGTATTATTTGAATAGCTTTCTGTGCATTTAAAATGACCCTGAAATATTGAGGCTCTTGAGTAACATGATTACTAAATGGCAATTGAATTTTGTCTCTGGCTGCCTCAGGACACCAACCCGATCTTCTTATTCAACAAAGAGATGATCCTGTCTGACCGAGCTCCAACCATCCCCAAAACGACCTTCTCAATAGAGAATGAGATGGAGCTGAAGGTGGAGGAGTCACTCATGATGCCTGCCGTCTTTCACACCGTCGCCTCCCGCACTCAGCTGGCTGTGGTACAGGGCAACTTCTGTTCTGACCTAATGACCAACCTCTGTCTTCTTAAATTTACTCAGTTTTACACATCTATGCTCATCCACACTGTGTTATATCAATGATTTTTATGTAAGGTTTGAGCGTCATGTACATTTGAGAGCATCAGTGCAAATGCACTCTTGTAAATGACAGAGGCTTAGATGGAAGGGTTTCGTACATTTGTGTGCAAATGACCCTGTGTTATGCCCTTTTTTAGGAAATGTTTGAGGTTGCCAAGAAGCTTTGCTTGTTCTGTGAGCGTCTGGTCCATGATGAACACCTTCAGCACCAGGGATGGGCGGCCATCATGGCTAACCTGGACGATTGCACCCTATCCTATCAAAAACTCCTCATGAAATTCGACACTGCTTATACAAATTACCAACAGTATTTTGAAGACATCAAATTAAAACTCACAAAGTATGTCTTTCTTTCTTTCTTTCTTTCTTTCTTTCTTTCACTGCCATTGAATAGTTTGAGGTCGGTAAGATTTTTAAAAATGTTTTTGAAAGAAGTCTCTTATGCTCACCAGAGCTGCATTTATTTGATCAAACATACAGTAAAAACAGTAATATTATAAAATATTTTTACAATTTAAAAGAACTATTTTCTTCTCGAATATATTTTAAAATGTAATTTATTCCTGTGATGCAAAGCTGAATTTTCAGCATCATTAGTCCAGTCTTCAGAGTCACATGATCCTTCAGAAATCAATTTAATATGCCAATTTGCTGCTCAAGAAACTTTTCTTCTCATTATCAATGTTAAAAATGATTAAATATTGCTTAATATTTTTGTGGAAACCGGGATACATTTTCTTTCAAGATTTTTTTTGTTCATAGAAATTTCAAAAGAACAGCATTTATTTGAAAAAGATGTCTTTTCTTAACATTATAAATGTTTTACTGACACATTTGATCAATTGAATGTGTCTTTGCTGAATAATAAATGAATAAACTGACCCTAAACTTTTGAACGGCCGTGTATTGTGTGAATAGAGATCACTAATATTAATGTTAATTCATCAGGCTTGGCACTGCTGTCTCAGTCATGGCGAAGATTCCACTGCTTGAGTGTTTGACTCGGCAGAGCTACAGAGAAAGCTTGGAGAAGTCCAGCTCCCCTCACTCGAGAACCACAGATGAAGACGAGAATGAGGATGAAGTAGGAGAAACATCCACCCAGTCTGCTATCCTCTGTCCCGCTGACAGCCATAAGAATCGGAAGTCACCCTCGCCGGTCTCTGCTTCAGGGGAAGCGTCGTCCCAGGCGTCCTTCTCTCCTCAGGACAGACTGAAGAGCAGCTGTAGTCTAAAAGCAGCTCTAGAGGAAGAGGAGGAGTCTCCGGAGAGGGGAGCCACACCCTCTTTCAATGTCACGCTCTTGGATTGGATCAACGTTCAGGACAGACCTAACGATGTGGAGTCAGTAGTGAGGAAGTGTTTTGACTCAATCAACAGGGTGAGTAATACGCGAGTCATTGGGAAGGAAATGTTTTGGTTAAAAACATGAATCAGTCTGTAAACCTGTGGCAACCTTTATATTGTTTTGAGCTAGACAGTAATGGGCATTATGATGATGTGACTGTAGAGGTGTGTAACACAGTAGAGATTTTGCTATACTATTAATATCAGATGACATATATTTACACAGCTATTAGTAAGCAGGAATGCTTTAAGTTGCTTATATGACAAAGAGACATAGAGTAATGCTAAAATACAGAGTCTGAGATCAGTAAGACAATAAAAACCTTAAGAGTGTAACGTGATGCAGAATTTAGTTGTGTGAGAAGCAACATCTCAACTATAGCATAATAACATGCTATAAGAAAAGTATAGGATTCAACTGATGTGATGTCATATTTTACAATATCCTCAAATATCCAATCAGATTTAGTGTTTTAAGACTTTTTTTCCCCCAGCTCAAGCACGATTATGTAATGTGACACTGTTTTTGGGCTCAAGTCAGACTTATCATTCATTTGTTATGAATAATCTTCTTATGTTTGGTTTGCCTCCATCAAGTTCCTAATAGAAAGTAAAAAAAAAAAAGGTTAACCTATTTAATTCACTGGATTATCCAAATATAAGCATTACCTAATGGGTATTAAAATATAAACCATGTTTTGTTTCATTTCCATCAAAAATAACCATATACTATGGCTGCAACATCCACTAATGTTTAAAAGTTTGTGGTCAATAGGATTGAAAAAAAATAAATTAATACTTTTAATTAAAGGGTTAGTTCACCCAAAAATGAAAATTCTGTCATTAATTACTCACCCTTGTGAGACCTTTTTACGGGTTTAAGATATTTTTGATGAAATATGAGGGCTCTCTGACCCTCCCATAGACAGCAAGGTAACTACCACGTTCAAGGTCCAGAAAAGTACCAAGATGATCGACAAAGTAGTCCGTGTGACATCAGTGGTTCAACTGTAAAGTTACGAAGCTACGAGAATATTTTTTTGCGCAAAGAAAACAAAAATAACGACTTTATTCCACATTTTCGTCTCTACTGCGTCACTTGTGGACGAGCGTTCACGACAGTATCACGGCGCATCTGGGTCAGCGCCGGCGCCGCCACACGCTTGCTTCATGGTACTGTCGTGAACGCACGTCCAAAGTGACGCAGTAAAGACGAAAATGTGGAATAAAGTCGTTATTTTTGTTTTCTTTGCGCAAAAAGTTATTCTCGTAGCTTCGTAACTTTACAGTTGAACCACTGATGTCACACGGACTACTTTGTCGATCATCTTGGTACTTTTCTGGACCTTGAACGTGGTAGTTACCTTGCTGTCTATGGGAGGGTCAGAGAGCCCTCAGATTTCATCAAAAATATCTTAAATTGTGTTCCGAAGATGAACGAAGGTCTTACGGGTTTGGAACAGTAATTAATGACAGAATTTTCATTTTTGGGTGAACTAACCCTTTAAGTAAATGTGCATTAAATTGATCAAAATAACAGTAAACATATTATAAATACATATATAATTATAATACGTTTCAAATATATAAGGATTTTCAACATCTATAATAATAATAATAATAAATGTTTCTTGAGCAGCAAATCAGCATATAAGAAAGATTTCTGAAGGATCATGTAACATTAACACTGAAGACTGGAGTAATGGTGCTGAAAATTCAGCAAATTTCAGCTCATTCACAGGACACTCCCAATGAACTGTTTTACTGTCCATGATCACTCTAATTTGTTTCTTTCATTCTTTATGCTTCCAGCTCGACCCACGAATTATCCAACCCTTTCTATCTGATTGCCGCGAGACGATTACCAAATTGGATAATCAGAACATGAAGGCCATCAAAGGACTTGAAGACAGATTGTATGCTCTTGACCAAATGATAGCAAGCTGTAAACGGTTGGTCAATGAACAGCAGGAACTTGCTCAGGTAAGCAACTCTCATTTTTATAGTCAGCATAAAACAGCCTAGAGGGGACATATTCTACATTAGTGTATTTAATTTTTTTTCCCCCTATAGTTTATAGCCATTTTCCAACCTTTGTTTTTTGCTACTGTGACTTTAAGATGTGTATACAACCCTCTACATTGCGAGTAAATCACTCGCATATGCGACTAAATCTTACTCTGGGCGACTAAATAATGCGAGTAAACAAAAAAATTTACTAGCCAATGGCGATTATATTGCCAAGGTGTGCGTAGAGGGTTGGTATATATGATTGGTTAACCTCTTCAAATGTAGGTTGCAACACTTACTTTTTGTGGGTTTACTGTGAGGTCTAATAGTTGGCACTACTCCATCCTTCAATAACAGCCTCTATATAAACCTGTATTACATTGAGGCAGATCGACAAAACAATAAACTTCTTCCACACGTTTCTAATGTTTGAATATATTACAAAGCTGTGCAAAACACGAGTTTTTCAGAAAGGTACTTTTCCTCATGTGTTCTCCTTTGCCTTCTACTAGGGATTTCTTGCCAATCAGAAGAGGGCTGAAAACCTGAAGGACACTTCGGTGCTGCCTGACCTGTGTCTGAGTCACGCCAACCAGCTGATGATCATGCTGACCAATCACAGGAAACTACTAGACATCAAGCAGAAGTGTACCACTGCCAAACAGGAGCTCGCCAACAACCTTCAAGTTCGTCTCAAGTAAGAGCAGTGTTTTTCTTCTTCCTTCTTCGTGGACAACACTAAAACTTGGCTTGAACATAAAGTAGTTTGGGCTTTGATTTTGGCTATTTTGAATCCATAGAGCTATGATACATATTTAAGGTGAATTGTAAGCGTTTCCTAACTGCACTGTGGTGTCTCCTCCATCAGATGGTGCTGCTACGTGATGCTTCACGCTGATCAGGATGGAGAGAAGCTGCAGGCTCTCCTGAGGCTGCTGACGGAGCTGCTGGAGCGCGTGCGGGTGGTGGAGGCGCTCAGCACTGTGCCACAGATGTACTGTCTCGCCGTAGTGGAGGTGGTCAGACGCAAAATGTTTATAGGACACTACAGACAAGTAAGATTTAGCTACATTAATTCATATTCTATAGAGATGCAGATGTGACCAGAAGTGATTTGACCAGAGAGAGAGTGAATGATACTTATTTTGTTTTTATAAAATTTCTGCACATTTAATTATTGTTTGTCAAAAAAATATCTGGGCTGGCTGTCTTATTTGTGTTTCAATTTGTTTTAATGTTTTATTTATTTTTTCTTCCAGTGGGCCAATGCTCTTGTGAAAGATGGGAAAAACCTCTATGAGGCAGAAAAAGTAAAAAGGGAATGCTTTGGGAAGCTCTTCAGTAAGTTTATTCTCTTTATTCTTCATATTGTATATGGTTTCTTTTAGTTTGGGTACAAACATGGACACCTGAGTGCCAGATTGCTTTGAAAACACTGCTTTTGTTTGTCTCAGGGAAATCGTTCCTCAGAAACCGGTTGTTTCGAGGACTGGACTCATGGCCACCCTCTTCGTTTTGCGTGAGTCTATGAACGTGTGTTTTTATTTTTCAGAATTCCTACATGGAATTTGAGGATATTTCAGCATTAATGAATCTTTTTTTGTTTTTGTGTTTAGACCCGAAAGCCTCGAAAGTTTGACTTTGAGCTTCCAGATATTTCCCTGAGTGACCTGCAGTATCTCAAGTCCTGTTGTCCTTCCGAGGTTCAGCCTTACCTCAGGTAAATGCCTCTTACCCGGTCACAATGCACACATTTCTACCGTAACTTCTCAATGCAAAACTGCTTTTCTTGTGTTTTTTGAGCCATTAACCTTTATATTATGGCTAAATACCCCTAGATGATGGTCTGTTGCCTGTTTTCTTCATCAGGGTCCCAACACTATGTGACTTTGAGCCTCTTAACCAGCATGTTGCGGTTCTTCATCAGCTGGTTCAGGCTGCGCAGAGTGTGGACGAGATGTCACAAACTATCACAGACCTACTAAATGAACAAAAGGTACTTTGTGTTCACACTTCACAGTCATTTAATTTTTATAACTTGTTGCTAAGTGTTTGAAATATTGGATGTTATAAACCTGTAAAGATGAAATTGGAATTGAAATTCACCTTATCTGTTTTCTAAATTAGTTTTGTTGATCTTAAAGGGGTCATATGATGCTGCTAAAAAGAACATTATTTTGTGTATTTGGTGTAATGAAATGTGTTTATGCGGTTTAAAGTTAAAAAAACACATTATTTTTCACATACTGTACATTATTGTTTCTCCTCTATGCCCTGCCTTTTTGAAACGCGTCGATTTTTACAAAGCTCATCAGTCTGAAAAAGGGGGTCAAGAACGGCGCGCCCGGCGGATCCGACAAATGAGCGGCAACCATATGTGACGGACCCTGGGCTGGATTCCACTTCATCCACGGTGAAAGTTGATGTATTCCCTCAGCGACCAGCACAGATCAGCTCTAGGCATGACGAAGCGGATATCAAGAGCTTGTAACACTCCAAAGAGAAAGGAAAAATTGAAATCGCATCATATGACCCCTTTAATGTGACTAATCCAAGCAATGGCAAGTGATGTATGCAAGATCTGTCATTACTTCCGATACACTGCAGCATAACAGATTTATATAGTCTAGTTTGACTTTTATAGCAATGTAATTTCCCATATGATTTTAACTTGTTGCATTGGCCTTATAGTTTTCCTGTAGCCAGAGTGCTCAAAGATTCACCGCATTAACACCCAGATCTGAAAGCACAACTGAAATCACCTCTACCTCCACCAAAACTTTGTCCACCAAAACTTTGTCCACTCTCAGTTTAAAAGCACCGGACTGCCAACCCCTGGCACTTCCTGGTCACTTGGAGGACCTATCACCTGACAGCATAGATGCCCAGACTTTTGACTTTGAAACCATTGGGCATCCCAATATGGATCCTGTATTACAGCAAGGCTCGTTGGACTTGGACTCGTTGGCAGAAAGTCCTGAGTCGGATTTCATGTCAGCAGTTAATGAGTTTGTTATTGAGGAGAACTTGATGTCACCTAATCCCATAAGTGATCCCACAAGCCCAGAGATGATGGTGGAGTCTCTTTACTCCTCTGTCATTAATGCAATCGATAGCAAGCGTATACAGGACACTACTACACTTGAGAAGGAAAATTCAAAGATTGCAGTACTCAAGCTGTCAGCAGACAGGTACCGTTCTGCTGCGGAAGAGTCCCAGAACAATTTGAGGAAAGTTAAAGAAGACCTTTATCACTTTCGAGGTCTTGTTCTGAAAGAGCAAAGAGACTTTGGATTCGCCCTGAAAACAATGACCATTGAGGTCCGAAACACTCTCAACAGTGTCAGATACTGTCACGAGGAGGAGCTGAGAGAAACGCAACAAACCGCTCTCCAGAATTTAAAGGATGATCATGAAAAGCAGATACAAACTCTCACGGAAGAGCTTGAAGGCAATCGGAAGATTGTTCGAGATGTCCAGAGAGCAATGCTAGAATTGGAGGGGCTCGTGGAGCGCAAGGAGAAGGAAATATCCCAGCTGGAGAGTGAGAGGGAACGCTCTATGCAAGAACTTCAAGATCTTCACAAGCAAACTGTGCAGGACCTTGAGGAGAAGATCTTGAAGCAAAGTGAAGAACTGAAAGCTACATTGCTGTCCAAGGACGAACTCGCTGGGCAGCTGGAGAACCTTCACTTTGAGATCGAGCACGGCCAACAGAAAATCAGACAGGAGATGGAGAAGGCAGAGAAGGTGCACCTTCAGGAACTGGAGGCACAGTTGAAACAACAACATGAAGCAGAGCTGGAATCTCTCAGATTGGAAAAAGAAAGTGCACTTGACAAACTTGTCCAGGAGAACCTGTTGAAGCTAAGAGATCTGGTGGATTCCCATTCTGCTGAACTCAAGGAACGCGAGGGACGCTTGAAAGACTTGGAGGCTCGCATCACAGAACTTGCAGATGCCCGCTGCAAACTGGAAGTGGAGATGGCTCTTAAAGAGGCCGAAATGGAGGACATGGGACTCCAGTACGAGGAGGCCAAAAGTACCCAAGAGGAGGTGTTGAGAGCGGAGCTTGCTACCCAAACAGCCACCTTGCAATCGCAGATCGACATGTTGAACCACCAGCTCCAGCAGAAGAACGAAGACTACGAGGTGGGCCTGGCCGAGCTCCGAGCACTCATGAGGTTGGAGAAGGACCACTGCATCTCTGAACTCGTGGATCGGCATGAAGAGGAGAACACCCTGCTCCGCCAAGAGTTTTCAGCACTCAAGCAGAAGTCGCAGGATGCGGAGAAAGACTGCGAAGAACGAGTCCAGAAGATCCAGCGCGATCTCCAGGATCAGTTTGATGCCTTACAGAGGGAAAAGGAGGATGAGCAGAGGGCTTTCCAGGAGAAAGAGCAAGAGCTTAAGACTGTTATCGGAGACCTGCAGGCAGAAAACTCACTACTATTGGGAAGACTGGAGCGGGAGAGGGTGGAGGCCCTGCAGAGAGCGGAGAAGGAGAAAGAGGAGGCAGTCAAAGCTGCATTACAAGAGGCCTTAAGAGACTTTCAACTCCAAAAAGAGGAGACTGAGACAAGACTGTTAGGACAAATTGAGCTACTTGAAAATCAGCTCAAAGACAGACAATCCACTGACATGTAAGTAAATGCAAGTTTTCTAATCAGACGTTCCCACAAAAATCATTCTAAGATTCAGCTTTAAAGCACATAGCTGTTAAATTATAAATGGTGCTTAATTGCTAGCAATTGGTGTGGCTGTGGAACACAGAAGATATTTTGAAAAATGTTTTAGTTTTTATAATGAAAGTCAATGGAGCCCAATGTTGATTCTTTTGCGTTCCATGGTAAAAAGTTATTCACACAGGTTTGGAATGACGGGAGTAAATAACGACAGAATTTTCATTTTTTGGATAAACTTTCCTTTTAAATATTAACCTAGGTGTTCAGTCCACCATGCCCCTTTTAGGCCTCAGACAGTAGCTATATTTCCATCCAAAGTTGCACATTTTGGCTGGTGGATGAAAAAAATATGCAGTTATCTCTATTTGAAAATATTTAAACAAACAATCAGGGAAGGAGGAATAACAGACATATTAACAATAATTTAACAGTCTGTTGTAAAGAAAGAAAGAAATACACACTTAAAGATATTTTCAATATAATATATTCCTGTAATGGCAAAGTTGAATTTTCAGCATCATTACTCCAGCCTTCAGTGTCACATGATCCTTCAGAAATCATTCTAATATGCTGATTTGATGCTCAAGAAATATTTCTTATTATCAACGTTGAAAACGGTTGATAACTGTGATACCTTTTTTTGGATTCTTTGATGAATAAAAAGTTAAAAAGAACAGTATTAATATGAAAGAATTATTTTGTACCAGTCTTTACTGTTACTGCTTTACTGCTATTTAACGCCTTCCTTACTGAAAAATATTAATTTATTTGAAAAAGAAAATCTTTTTGACACCAAACTGGTGAATTTTTGGATGAGCTCTTTTGACTTGGGCAAGCGCCCAGAACTTTAACAATCCCATAGCAAACACCCACAACATCTTAGTATTGTTTCAGGGAGTTTTGCAAAATCGAGTACTCCTCACATTTTGTTTAAAAAAATGTAAAAAAAATAATGTTTTTAATGTGGTTTTGTTATTTCTGTTGGTTTGTTTGATAATAACCCCAGTTTCTTGATGATTTAGTCATGAAAAACTCAATAAATCTTGCACTTTTGTGTGAGAGAAGCATCTGATGAGGACACAAATGAAATTACACTGAAAAAATGACGCTCTAGTCCATTAAAATGAAAGCTTCTACCTCTAACTTTACTGTTAATTAAAAACCGAAAACACAGACAAGCTACATGCATTCACTTACTCTTTCTGATTTCATTCACACTTGTGCATAATTAGCACATCAAAAAGAACCAACAAAAACTGTGAACCGTTTCATTAAAACATTTCTTAAGTAGAAATTAGCAAGAAATGTGATAACCCTGTTACATGTGCCTGTAAAATAGGGATTAATTAAAAACAGAAAACAGAATTGATCCCAATAAATTGGAGGTTTTTGAATATTTTTTTATTTATTCTGTTGACTATTTTAACACTTCAGAAAAACTGGTTTTTGCCAAGTGGTTAAAACTCTAAGCTAGTAATAAAAGGCTGCAGGTTCAAACCCTGCAAGAAGCAAACAATGAACACCTATAGAGCTCTAGAAAGAGACTAAATTGTTGCTGTTTACTTCATTAACACATGTTCCTGTCTTATATTCAATAATTAATCATTGCACAACATGCAAAAAAGGTTCTTCAGAATCTAACAACTTGCTCAGCTTATGAATTAGCATTGTGTTTTAGAAGGAATCATCAGCTAAATGACTGCTCAGAAGTAATTAATGCAAAGTCAGGTTGATCTCCAGTATGGTGAGGTCAATTCTCACACCTGCTTCTGTGTTTCAGAGTGGGACCTACTGTAGAAAAGACGGAGACTGGTATGGAAACCAGTGCTGCATTGTCACTGGACAGTGGCCAGTGGACCGAGGAAAGGGTATCGCTCCTGGCCAAACTAGAGCTCCTGGAACGCACAAAGAACGAGGAGATGCAGAACCTGAAGACCTCGCTCATTGCTGAGCAGCAGGTTAGCAATATAAAGAATCTGGACTACAAGTAGTGAATAAAGCTGATGTTTTTTTGCCACTGCAATTCAAAAGTTGGCATCTTACATTCTGTACATGTCTTTTTATACTTATATTAAAAATTCAATTAAATGTTGTTGTGGATTTAAATGTCACCAAGGTAAGATATCTAACCAGCTGACATTATATTAAATGGCTGACTAAATTAATGGCTGACATTAATAATAATACAACACTGGATGAGGAGTTAAAATTAAACAGTATTTGTTTGCATTGTGTGCCATTATTTTCCAGCAAAAGTGTGTATTCAATATAGCTATCATGGACTTGCATAATTCAAATTAATTGAATTTGCATAGCAGCTGTATATTTTCCAGCTATTATTAAAATGTAAGAACCTAGTCATTTGTTTGCAAAGAAAATTAATGAAAAATATTATAATTTGTAGCTGAACTTTTTTTTTGATAAAAAATGGTCAGGACAAGTAAAAAAAAAAATTTAACTTAAAAAAAAAAATAAATAAAAATAAAAATATGGCCGATGTAAAACTGTTGAGGGGATATTGATATCTAAAATATTGTTGCCATGGCAACGTGTCAAACTTGAATATTCTTTTCCGGTGATTTTGAGGTAGATAACATGCTTCGAATTTCATGAAACTCAACACACATATCAGTATTAATTAAATATCTGAACTGGCTGAAAATGTAGGTATTGTAACATTTTTGATCTAAAAACCTATTAAAATGTCTTTAATGTATTATAAATGTACCCTAAAATTTATTGTTTTAATGTACTGTTCACTTCTAGACAAACTTCAATACTGTTCTGACCCGGGAGAAACTAAAGAAAGAACAAATCATCAGTGATCTCACCGAGAAGCTCAAAAACTTGGCACAGCAACAAGAGAAAAAATTCATATAATTTTAATACATTGTCACTTGTTTTCCAAACATCTGTACTGCACCGAAACGGTCAGTCCGATCAATAAATGTTAAAAAAGGACCACTCATGATCATTGTGCTGTGTTTTGTTGTTTTCCTGAAGGCCTGATCGAAACGCTCTCTGAGGACCGTGCCTCCATCCTTCAGGAGAAGAAGCAGATGGAGGAGGAACTCAACTGTCTGCGAAGCACCGTCCTCGTATCTTCATCCTTCTTTCCTCCCAATCCCATCCCAGTCGTAACGGAAGCTCACGGTGCCTGTGGCCCCGCCCATGTGAAAGTCCTCTCGCTGTCCACCCCTGATCCAGAGAGATTGGCGTCTGTGGCTGCGTTCAAGGACGAGGAGTGGGTGGAGTCAGCCGTGGAGGCCAGCATGATGACAGTGCAGTAAGCATCTGGGCTGAAGTTCACTTGTGACACACTCATACTAGAGCTAAATGAATAAACCCTGAAAAACTGAACTGGCTCAGTTTAGTCAAAAGCACGCTGAGTGAATGTCTTTGACATTATCCACAAGGTGGTTTGAAATTATTCATTTTATTCTAGCAATACAACAACCTGTTGTTGGCATATGTTCTCACTCTACAGCATTCATTTCTGTAAAATAATAAACCTGCACAGCCAGCTTCGGTGCTAAAATACTGCACTACTATAGCTGAATGAGCTGTACGAATACACTTGATTTCACATGCTCTTGTAGCAACAAAATCAAAGTTTTGGAGGGATGAGGTTTTTCTTAAAAAGTTTTGGAATAGTTACATAGAAGGTGATTTTTGTTTCATTCCCAAAATACACACATTTACATGTCAAAAATTTTTTTTATTTTCCTCATTACATTTTTTTTTCTGAAATATCTTGTTATGAGAGAAATAAAACATAATTTTGTTAGATCAGAACATAATTGTGCTAGATTTGATAATTTCATAAGTTTTATAGTTTGTAGTCTTTGAACAGAATTAATGCTTTAATGTTTTTATAGTCAAAATTCTACAAAGTTATTATAGATTTAGAGATGTTTATTTACAGACAGACTTATTTGAAAAACAAATTATGTATTATCTAATTATAATATTAAAACATTTTAATACTACTACTACTACTACTACTACTAATAATAATAACAACAAAATGAAGTTCATATGTTTTTAAGTTTTGAACAAAATTAGTTGTTAGGTATTAGTTATATATTATTAATATACTTTTTGTAGTCAATCTACTAATTTATTCTAGATTTATAAATGTATATCTACAGACAGACTTATTTTTTAAAAATGTATATTATATAATTATTATATTAAAACATTTTAATAATAATAATAATAACAACAACAGTGGAGTTAATAGGTTATATAGTTTGTAGTTTTTGAACAAAATTAGTAATTTATATGCTTTTTGTAGGCAAAAATCTACAAATGTATTCTAGATTTATAGATGTATATCTAAAGACAGACTTATTTTAAAATTTATTTATTATATAATTATTGTTTTAAAATATTTTTAATAATAATTACAGAGTGGAGTTAATAATTTTTTTCTAGTTTGTAGTTTATAATAGAATTAGTGATTTATATGATTCTTGTAGTCAAAGTCTACAAATTTATCATTAACACACACACACACATATATGTATAATTTTATTATTATAATTTTTTTTTTTAATGTCTAGCAGAATGTCAGCAGTTGTTAGAATTTTTTTATACTTGTTGTTTAAAAGTATGTAAGGAGGATTAATTTGTGGAGAGGTAAGACGATATTTTGTAGACCTTGTATCTTTAAAGGAGCTGAATGAATGTATTTGAGGCAGGAAAGCAGAGTAGATCAGGTAGAAGAAGAAAGATGTGAGTCAAGCCCATGTTGTAGGTGAGGAGACTCAGTTCCCTGCTCTGTATTATTATTGGCTTTTAGAAAATTGTTCCTTTTTAAAGCTTTGCTGAATTAGTGAACTGTGTAGTTTGTGACATTTATTTTGTGTATTTTGATTCAGTGACAACCCTATGCTGTCTGAAGAGAAACAGCGCATACTGATTTTGGAAAGGGTAATTCACTTTCACATATATATACTTTTATATATAATTTTATTGACAAAATCATTGCATTTCTTAGAAATATTTTCATATGCAATTATTTGTTATTGTGTTTCAGACTTTACATATGAAGGAGGAAGAGAACAAAAGACTTAGTCAAAGATTGGTAAATATATTTTAGTTCATTTATATGTGAATGTGTGTGTGGTTATAGTCTTGGCTCTTATATTTCATCTAAATGTGTTAATTGTATGAGAACGTCGTTTAACATCGTTTAAATTGATCATCTGTATTCGTGCCATTTGTTCTTGATCTCGGTTGATAATTGACCACTTGAACGGTCAATTAAAAGCAGTAATTAGTGATGGTAAATAGAGCAATACACTCAATTAATGCAGGTCAGCGATTGACACAGGAACGTTAAAGGCATTCATGTCATTTTGGGGAAAAAAAATACTTGTAATATATTTCTTTCATATTATGGTTTTTTATATCTATAAGCAAAATGCTGTAGATATTCTGTCTTCACTGTACAGTTCATATACATTACATTGCACATTATCAGCAGTTAATTAAAACATGAGGCTCTTTGATATAATTTAATTACATTTCCCCTGGGACTGTTTCTGCAAATAGGTTTAATCTCTTTAGCAAAATTACAATCGCTGTCTTATTGGCCGCGAGACGCGTCTTATGAGACACGTAACCCACACTTTAAGAGTCCTGACAGCTCGGGGCGGATTCACAAGATGAATTTAGTCTGAAAAACAGCTCTGAAATGTGCCTGGGTAATTGAGCTAGGACTGAATTTCAGCTCGTTTGCAAACGAACCTGACATGAAACAACTACAGACGTGTTTAAATCCCATATTTCATATCTATGTATGTAACAATGTATTTTAGATACTCATTGTTCTTTGTCCCTATTGTGTGTTCTATGCATTTACTACCAATGCATGCTATTTAAGAAACTGTTCTACTCCTTACCACTAGATGGCACACATACATTTGTTTAGGTACAAACTCCGTCCTACAAGCACTGAAATGGCAGGAGATTAATCAATGTTGCATTTAACCAAAACTGATGTGTTGCACTACAATGTATGTGGGTTTTATTTGATAACGGTTGCAGAGAGTGTACGCAAGCAACATAACAAACATTTACTAGTGTAAATATCACTAGAATCATCGAACAATTTGTTTTACAGATGTCACAGAGTATGTCGTCCGTCTCGTCACGGCACTCGGAGAAAATCGCCATTCGAGAGTAAGTATTCTTGGATGTTAGTGTTAATGATTTGAGCTGCCGTTTCAGCCCTGCATTTGAAAACCCCTTCTTTTGTAGTTTTCAGGTGGGCGACTTGGTTCTCATAATCCTGGACGAGAGGCACGATAATTACGTTCTCTTCACTGTTGGTCCCACCCTTTATTTCCTGCACTCAGAGTCCCTCACTTCACTGGACCTCAAACCAGGTCAGTCACACACATGACCGGAATACTTATTAAAGGGACAGATTAATTCAATATATTAAGCTTTGCATATGTGAAACAATTTTGCTCCAACAAGATGGATTTGCATATTTTTTCGTTGCTCTTTCCCAAGAACATGTTTACTTATTTTAATTGTTCTTATTTTTTAATTGTATATATTAATGTATCAATGCATTTATAAATTAAAATGTTTTTTTAATGTTCTAGATAAAAAAATTATGATACAGATAATGCGTTTTACTCCTGATAAAGTGTTTTGTAGTTTTATTTTACATAAAGCATGGTTTTATTGTAAATTTGCTTTTATTTATTGTATATCAATAATGCTTTTTTTTTTTAGCAACAGGAGAAACAAGACGGCCGTGGGTTCTAGGAAAAGTCATGGAGAAGGAATATTGCCAAGCCAAAAAGGTAACCGTTATTATTCTATTATTTCTGCGAATGCTCTGAATGGAGTGTTTTTGTATAATTATATTTCAGTAAATAATTTTGATGGTATTATTGCACTCTCATTATATAACATCCTTGATGACAAAACACTAGCTCATTTTTCATGACATTGTCTGATCTATTTTTTGTTAACATTGGTTATATTTGAGATGCATATATTAAAATATATACTCAGTTCCTTTGCTAAACTTTCTAATTAAGCTCATCAGGAAGATAACATTGAATTACAATTATGGATTTAATTGTTTTGCATCTTAAAGTTAATTTGAGCAGAAAAGTGTGTTTTCATAATCAGCTGCTAATCATTACTGCAGGTACTTATATTAAATTATCTATTTTATTAAATTATTTTTATGTGATATTCTATTACATATTTTGAATGCGTTTCTTTTGTTATTATCTGTCTCCAGGCCCAAAACCGGTTCAAAGTTCCTCTCGGCACTAATGGCAACGTGTCAAACTTGAATATTCTTTTCCGGTGATTTTGAGGTAGATAACATGCTTCGAATTTCATGAAACTCAACACACATATCAGTATTAATTAAATATCTGAACTGGCTGAAAATGTAGGTATTGTAACATTTTTGATCTAAAAACCTATTAAAATGTCTTTAATGTATTATAAATGTACCCTAAAATTTATTGTTTTAATGTACTGTTCACTTCTAGACAAACTTCAATACTGTTCTGACCCGGGAGAAACTAAAGAAAGAACAAATCATCAGTGATCTCACCGAGAAGCTCAAAAACTTGGCACAGCAACAAGAGAAAGATAAAGGTATATAACCGTTATTATTCTATTATTTCTGCGAATGCTCTGAATGGAGTGTTTTTGTATAATTATATTTCAGTAAATAATTTTGATGGTATTATTGCACTCTCATTATATAACATCCTTGATGACAAAACACTAGCTCATTTTTCATGACATTGTCTGATCTATTTTTTGTTAACATTGGTTATATTTGAGATGCATATATTAAAATATATACTCAGTTCCTTTGCTAAACTTTCTAATTAAGCTCATCAGGAAGATAACATTGAATTACAATTATGGATTTAATTGTTTTGCATCTTAAAGTTAATTTGAGCAGAAAAGTGTGTTTTCATAATCAGCTGCTAATCATTACTGCAGGTACTTATATTAAATTATCTATTTTATTAAATTATTTTTATGTGATATTCTATTACATATTTTGAATGCGTTTCTTTTGTTATTATCTGTCTCCAGGCCCAAAACCGGTTCAAAGTTCCTCTCGGCACTAAATTCTACAGAGTAAAGGCCGTACCATGGAACAAGAAAGTGTAATCATGTACAAATTGATCATATTGTAATGAGCTCAGTATGTTTTTATTGCTTTTTTTAAGCAAACTCGCTCATCCTTGGTGGATTTATCGACATCAGAAGACAAAATAATTTTTCCCCTTTTTTTTTAAATTTATTTATTTTTTTTTACCTCTTGCAAACCATTTTAGCAAATTTTTTTTTAGCAAAACCAGAGGATTTGTAAATGTGGACCAAATGATTCTAACTTTATCGGGGCATTGCCTCCATGTGCGATGGCTCTGAAGCCGTCACAACAAGTCTGTAAAAATGGACAAAATGTATTTGGATGTTACATATTAGTTCATCATTAATATTATGGTCGGGTTAGGGGGGAAGCACTATCATGATCAGCTTACTTATTTCAGAAGGTTATGAAAATATAAATTTATTGTAAATGTTACCAGAGGAATGGTCATGGCATGCATATAGATAATATTTTCTTTAATTTACTTGTCTGGATATGCATTGTAGTCGGAGGTATCAGTAAAAACCTGCTGATTGTTACTCGCATCACAGTACAACCCGTCTGTTTATTATGACGTACATTTGGACGGCTGCCGCAGAGGACTCGCAATCCTTCAGAAGCACTTTCGGGAAAAAAATACGATGCTTTTGTCGATTCAAAAGTGAGGTTTGTGCTGTTGAAAACAAGCGTCAGAAGAAAAGCAGCACATATCTTCCCTCTGTTGTAGGATGTTGAAATATAGAAAGTAATATTTCATGTTTGTGAATGTGTGTCTTTATTGAATTTAACGACAACATTGTATATTATTCATCTGATCACACAGTAACAAAAAAGGACTGTATTGTAAAAGAATTTAGAGTTTTCAAAACAATAAAGGTTTGATCCCAAACTCCTCACGGTGGATTGCATTACCCGCAGCGTCCGTTCCGAGAACTTTATTTCATACGCCGTGGTGAGAATATTGCGAATGTATTGCAATAGTTTTCTTTGTATTATTTATTTTTTATTTGCCATACCTTTGGGAAACAGATGCATCTTCAATACATTTAAAGGCTATTTTTGTTGAATCAAAGTACAATGAAGCTTTGGTCTTGATGCTTGAAGATGTTTCCCATTAACATCTGTTGTGTTCGCTTCCAGTTGCACGTCATTTTAAAGCGCTTTTTAAATGGAAAATATACTTTAAAAGGGTTTTTCTCATTGAAAGATTTTAGACCCCAAAATATGCCCCCCCACCCCCCGATTCCGTCTCTCCTCCTATGCAAATGCGCGCACCGCTATGATTGTAAGTACTTGTTTACATAAGTTTTGCAATCATCGCCTATTGATGCTCTTGAGTCATTGGCAACACTTCCAACCGAGCAGAACGGAAGATTTTAAAAGAATTACGCCTCTATTTTGTCAACTAAACTAATGAATAGCAAACAAGCCCATACATGTCAGGGATTAATGGGATCCATTTTATTGCTATTGTCTATCACTTACGTAACGTGTTCTATCTAAAATTAAAGCAGTGCTGAGGTACGGCGGTTGAGGGAAATATTCCCAATTTAGACGTTTTTCTCTTTCGGCTCGGTCCTTGTCGAATGTTGGCTTTTGCGGGGGCATTAGCTAGTGTCGTGTGCTAACGTTGGCACGCTCTCGGACGCAACAGACTTCAAAAGGGCTTCGATCGGGGTCCGGGAACGGTATTACCCTCTTGGAGAAGCACGGCGCACCAACATCACTTTCCCAGTTCACAGCGGGGAGCATAGCAGCTCTCCGCCGAGCCTTCGGTACCATGTGGGCCTAGGGGTGTTTCGGCAATGTTTTGCTTTATTTGCACCGTTTAGCACAAGTCGGCTGTCACATTTGGATGGCGTTTTCATAAATTGATGGTGTGATTCGTAGTATCTCGGGACAGGCCTGAATGACTAAACGCGAGATGCTGAGGTTGCTGGTGAAGGAGAACCATGTGGAATGGACAGCCTCTCAGTGTAAATGTTTACAGCCCCCTACTGTGGAGCCGGGACTTACCCATGCTAGACACCACGGAGCTCGGCGCTGGTGTGACATCGTTCCAAACGGTGTTTGCTTCACCAAAAAGCTCATAATATGCTGAATTAACAGTCTGATGACAATGCACGTGGCTTGTAATATTTTATTTCCGTGCACTTTTTTTTCTCGCTTTTATTTGTACAGATAGTGAGCAGAGGTAGTGACTCTTAAAAATAAAGGTTCTTTATTGGAATTTTGGTTCCATGAAGCATCTTTAACATTCATGTAATCTTTCCATTCCACAAAAGGTTCTTTATAATGGAAAAATGTTATTAAAATGTTCTTCACACTAATGGGTGTTTTAGGGCTATTCACTAAAAAGGTTCCAAAAATGGTTCTTTTATGGCATTGTGACAAAAACAAACCCTTTTGGAACTAGTATTTTTAAAAGTTTATGTAATTTACAAACAAAAAAAAATTTTAATCTTGTAATACAAGTATTTCTGTTCAATTATACATTGGTCTTTCTGAAATATGCTTTGACTCAGGCACTTAAACTTTATTAATTATAACCTGATTATTATTATTTTTTTCAATACACAGAATGGAAAAAAGAGTTCTCTGTTAGTTTACATTAAGACTAAAATATAATTTGGATATTTTTAAACCATGTTTTGACAATCATTTTATCAAACACGGTGTCAAAACTAAGTGAGTTTTCTTTTAGAAGTACTATTACAAAACACAATCCAATCCATTGCTGATATTTTTGTTATTGCTCTTGTTTTCCCTCCAAAATGATGTCACTTCCTCTTGTATAAGACTGACTTTTGTAAGTTAAAGGGATGTTACAAAAGGCAAATAGGATGAAAAGTGATACGGGAGACACATGACAAATTTATTATACATTTATTCTTAATTAAATTAATATTTAAGATGTTTTGCTTGGGAAAAAAAGTTTAGATAAATTTAAAAATGTGACTGTAAAAACATGGAATATTTCTTAATGAATTGCCAGTTTTTAATGATAGAGATGCAGCACCTGGGGGGAAAATGACAACATCCCATCAAAGCAAAGGTAACTGCTAAAATAAATTATTTGAAATGTACCCCCTTTGCTCACTTTATTATGATATTTTAATAGAAGTAATAATATTGTGTTTAATATTGTGAGTTAATGTTTTTGGTCCTTCTTTAAATTAGGTGGCCTTAACTACTATGTACATACATTTAAATTAATAATTTGATACAATGCACTTATTGTGTACATACATGTTTTTGCATTGTACTTAAAATTTAAAAAATACCTGTATGTAATTGCAGCTGTAATTAATTTCTGTTATTACATTTATAAATACACTGTTGACCCATCCCTTACACCTTAACCCACCCTTAAACCTACCCAAACCACCAA